CTACCAGCTGAGACAGAGAACGAGTTATAGAATAGAGATTCAACACCAGGACTTGCCTGTTGACACAGCATAGCGGGATGTGTCACTCAGTTTTTCATTACTGTGACATTACCTGTGACATTAAAGAAGGAAAGGTTTATTTTGGCTTACAATTTCCAAGGTTTCGTTCCAAGGTTGGCTGGCTCCAGTGCTTTGTTCCTGTGGTGAGGTAGAATATAATGGTGTCAGGAGCATGTAGCAGAGGAGGCTGCTCATCACCTGCAGGCCAGGGAGCAGGGTGGAGGAGGGGCAAGGGATAAAATATGCCCTTCAATATCATATACCCTCCAAGAGTATGCTCCCGGTAACCTAGTTCCTTCAACTAGGCCCTGTCTCCTAAAGTTTCCACCATCACTCGGTAGTGATACTACCTGTGGACCAAGCCTTCAACACATGAGTCTTGGGGGACATTTCAAATCCAAACCATAATACAGGATAAGCCTCGCTGTGGGTGATTCCTCTTTTAAAACCTGACCTCTTTCCAAAATTTCTAAAAGCTCTCAATAGCTTTATACTGTCTTGATCTGTTTTCTGTTGTTATAGCAAAATACCTGAAACTAGATCATTGATAACATGAAGGCCTGTTTAGCTCATGTTTCTGAAGGCTGTGAAGTCCAAGAGCACGGTACTGGTATCTGGCGAGGGCCTTCTTGTTAAACCATAATATGACAGAAGGCACCACATGGTGAGACACAGCAAGTGTGCTAGCTTGGGTCTCTCTCCCTCTTCTTATAAAACCACGAGTGCCAGCCTGGGGCTGCCATCCTCATGGCCTCATCTGTAATCTTTAATTACTTCCCAAGGGCTTCACCAATACACAAACTTTTGAGAACACATTTAAATCATAGCATATTTTACAATATTTCCAATAATAAATGCACCCCAACTGATGTACCTTCAGTACATGCCCTTGACTCAATGGGATGAAATCAGGTAACAGGCAAGAATTGTACTCAACCCACAGCCTCCGTATGTCATGGTCTCTAAGTAACCTCCTGCACAAAAAAAGTTACATGCTTGTACAAGAGTACAACGATTTGGGGCAGGGGGGTGGAGAACAAAACACAAGTTAATAAAATTCCACTGTGCTCTTTGCTCTCCGCCCTAGAGAATGGAGAAATCTGGGAATGTGATGTTGAATGGGCTAGCGTCTGCAAAGATCATCAAAATGGCTCAAAGGCGGAAGCCACAGACTATAGGCATCCTTCAATTACATGTGAAGTAATTGTATGCTCTTCTTTCAAAACTTTTAATGTGAAATATAAAGAGCATGGGGAGAGGTATGAGAAATAATTTCTAGCTTTTTTTTTTCCTTTCTCCTTTTATTTTATCATCTCAATTTTCAGCTTTTGTTAGACCTCAGATAGACCTCTCCACCACTTATATAGTCCTGTGTCTGGGTGCTCACTGTGTAGATCAGTGGTAGAGCACATGGAAGGCCCTGGGTTTGATCCCTAGCACAAGAAAATTCATAAATCATATTTTCTGTGGTCTGAATGTTTGTGTACCTACTCCCCCCCCAATTCATGTTGAAATCTAATCCCTAATGTGGTATATAAGGGGGGGTGCTTTATTTGATGATTAGGTCATGAGGGCTCCACCCTCATAAATAAGATCAGTGCTCTTATGAAAGGCACATAGGGAGCTTCTTTGCCCTCCCTTCGTGTGAGGACACACCAAGAAATCACCATCTATGAGGAATGGACTTTCAGGCACCAAATATGTCAGTGTCTTGATTTTAGAATTTCCCAGCCTCCAGAATTGTGAGCAGTAAATTTCTCTTTATTACCCAGTCTAAGGTACTTTGTCCTAGCAATACAAAACAGACTAAGACAATATTGTATCAATCCAAATAAAGGGAGGAGTGATGGTCAAAGCCACATGCAATACTACAATGTGGCTGAAAGGACAGAGGTACCTGAACCTATCTATAGTTTTAACTTGTGCGTCCTTCTAGAGATCCTCATGATACACTGGACAGAAGACAAACACAGATTGATAGATGCGTGCATCTGTGTCCCTCTCCCAAGGTCACGGCAAATCCTCATGCACAAGGATCATGTTCTATTTCACTAGTTTTCCCTCAAAGGAATAGACATCCACTAAATGCTCACTAATAGCTTTAAATTGGATTGCTTCCGTTTCCTTGTAAAGCCAACCCCAATTTAAAGGAATTCAAAGGAAGAAGAGCATAGAAGAAGTAGATGAGGCCAGGCACAGTAACACACACTGTAGTCCCAGCGACTTGAGAGGCTGAGGCAGAAGGATCCTGAGTTCAAGGCCAGCCTGGGCTACATAGTGAGACCCTGTCTCAATACCCCACACCCCCAAAAAAGCAGCGGGTGAGATGATCTGCTCTTTCACAGCATGTAACATATTTATTGGTACATAGATTTAAATCAGGATAACATTTTTTACAAGGAAATAGATTTTAATATATTATTCAACAAAAATAGCTATGTAAAATAGTCTATGCACAGAGACCTTGAGAACACTGACACTATGGGTGTGATATTTCATCTGTTTTTCTTTACTTATTTGAATTTTCTACATTGTTTTAATTTCTTACACTAAACATGAAAATTTTTATGAAAACAATTGTTTCAACAGGATAAATAGTAAATAATCTAGTCTGTCAAACTGTGATGAGGCCTAAGTGTCTTATCTTGACTATAAATGTGTCCAAGAGGCAAGACATAATTACAATATTACCCACCTCACAGCACATAAACCCACATAACCAGGATATTATTTGAATTTTTAAATAGTTATTTTGAAAAGTTAACATCCAACTATTTTCTACTTTACTAGCATAAGTATTTTTGTCTACAACCTTATATCAGAACTATCAGATAAAAAATAAATGCCTTTCAAATGTAACAGCCAAGACACATCTGCTGCAAAGCCTTCCTTTTGGCACAATAATAATTTGCCCATACCAAAAAAAAAATCACAAGATGAATGTTCTCAACAACATTCCTGAGAAACCACTATTGTCAGGAAATAAAATTAAGACATTTACAGTATATGAGCAGGCAAGTACAACATTGTATTAGTCAGCTTTCTACCACTATAACAAAATACCTAACATAATCAACTTATAATGAGAAATGTTTTATTTTGGCTTACAGTTTTGAGGTTCCAGCCTATGATAAGTTGGCCCTATTGCTTTGGGCCTGTGGCAAGGCAGCACATCATGGCAGAACCAAACCACTTACCTTATCACTGGGAAGCAAAAGAGAGTTGAAGATGGGGCACAGGATCCCACAAGTCTCTTCAAGGACATGCCCCCATTTAATAGAAGTCTTCCCACTTGGCCACACATCTTAAAAGTTCTACCACCCCCAACAGTGCCACCCTGGGAACCAAGTTTTAATGCATAGGCCTTTGGAGGACACTTAAGATGCAAACTATAACAAACATGGGCTGGTTACTTCTGTTTGAGGGAAATTAGAGGCATTCTAGGATAGAGAGGGGAAGCACCTGATTTGGTCTGTGGCGAGAGGTGATGGAGAGGAATAGGAACAGAAGCCACATGAGCAAAGGCTCAGTGCCGAGAGCATGTACCCAGGCAACCTTTTTGGAGAGCAGCGAGAAGAAACAGGTGTGATTTATTCTTGAAACTCCTCTACTCTCATTTGTCCTCATGTGTGAAGTTCACAATGTTCAACTCACAGAGATTAAATCACTTCTAAATAATAAGAAATTTCCAGGATTTTGTCAGGAATATAACATAGAAGCAAAATGTATGGTCTGGTCCATGTCTCTAAAGAGGCTTATCATGAAATGGCTCATCTGTGAATCCTGTTTCAACATGTTAACTTTGAGGATATGCAAGAGATAACCCAGCTGTTTGCTGTCTGTCTTGTGGACACCCCAGGTCAGCAGGATGGTGCAGCCTTGTTCCCAGCAGGGTATCCTATCCCATGATGGATAAGCTGGCTGAAATACTGCCTCCTGTTCTTACCCACTGTCTGCTGTAGATGAGATCATGGCCAGCTATAAAGACCACTGAAGGAGGGCAAAAGAACCTGAAGACTCACTCTACACAGCAAGGTCCCAGATTGTGGAAGCATCAAGATATAAGCTCAAGATTACAGAGTTCTGAGTCTTGGGAAGATTTTTCAGATGCACTGTTTGCTTTCTGCTAAGATAAGGAATGTATCACTCTACCAGAGTACAATATTCTTTTACGAATTATTAAATGAATCTGCAGAAGTCTCATTGTTATCTGAAGAAAAAAGGATGGAAGTATATATATATGCCCATATATTTTTATGTATAGTCCATATGTATATGTACATATATATTAGATAAATCTAATGCTATACCACCCCTGTAAAGGCACGGTGACCCTGGTGTCATTGATGCCTCTGAGGAGGGAAGTGGGGCTGTGGGGCGGGGATGGGAAGATACTCCATCCATTACATAATACTTTATATATATCTTTTAGCTTTGAACATGTGCAATTGTTATCTATTAAAAATAATTTTTTGGTAGTACTAGGTTTGAACTCAGGGCTGCATGCTTGCTAGGCAGGCACTCTACCACTTGAGTCACTCTCCCATCCCTTTTTTCTGTGCTGGGTATTTTCAAGATAGGGTCTTATGAACTGTTTGCCTTGGCTGGTCTTGAACCTCAGTCCTCCTCATTTTTGCCCAGGTAGCTAGGATTATAGGCATGAGCCACTGGCTCCTGGCTAAAAAAATAAATTTAAAACTAAAAACCAAATTAAAAAAAAACCCTAGCAATAAACCAATAAAAAGCATACATTAGGGTCACGATCCAAGGTGCACTGGGAGCCACCTATGTGGTATTGGAGGCTTACACAAAAAGAAGAAGAAGAACCTTATGAGTTCCTCTCAACCTCAATTCCTAATGTCAAATACACATTTAGAAATGAACAGAGAATAGCCAGAGCTGGGTAGTCTCTGTAAGCGAAACCTGTGGCTACCTCAGATCTAACAGTTGCCCTGGCTAGGGTTCTTGGGTTGGGCAAGTTGGTCCTCAATCCCTTGGCTGAACTTAGAGGCAAAGAGCGAGGTTATGAGGTCATCCCCTATTTCCAGAGCCATGTCATATGCTGTCTGGCCTCTTATATTCTTCTTTTGAATATCTGCGTTGCATCTGCGAAGGAAATGGAGAAAACAGGGGCTGTGAAGCACGTGGGCAAATGACCCTCATGGCCTGACTCTTCCCTTACACAAAGGCCAGCCTGGCACCTCCTGGCCCACCTCCCCAGACCTGTCCCCAAGAAGCCACCATGACTTTAGTTCTCAGAGGTAACTCTACCCCTAGACCTTTTAAGGTGCTGTGTAATTTCAAAATATTCAATTGCCAATCATAGGCATTGGTTCCAGTTGCATCAAAGCTCTACAAGCAAGTATGTTTAATGAAAGCAGCAGGTTCATTATGCTTTGAAAAGCTCTCAGTGCCCTAGAGGGCACAGTGGGATGGTGACCCCCATTCACAGGGACAGCAGTTCAGGAACTGGATGGGGCCCCTCTAAAAGCATCACAGGTCAGTAGAGAGATCACTCAGATCACTCACTGTGGCCCTCTCAGTGCCCACCAGAGGCCAAGGTACATACCCCAGTAAAGTGGTGATGCTCTCCTTTCCTGCCAGGCCAAGGAGAGTTGCTTCGTGAAGAGCTGTGTTTCTGAACCTATTTGTGGTAGAAAAAATTCCCAGGTAAATCCTTAGTTAACATCATCAGGAAACAGAAAGGACAACATACCCAAGTGCCTGGGTTTTCCTCACTGGTCTTTAAAGTAACCTGAGAAAATCTCTTGAGTCTCCCTCTCTGTTCTTTCCCTTGGAAGAATATTGTGATGGGGAGGCAGGGGGAGCTTTGATAATAGATAGAAAGGGAAAAGTCTAGAAACACATTCATCTTTTTTCTTTTCATTTTTCAGAAGGTTACTGACAGCAACAGCTCAACTAGCCATGCTGCTAATTTACCTGCAGTTTAGCACACCAGAAATATCTGTTCTCTTGACATAAAGAAAAGACACAATGAAATGTGCACCATTTTTCATGTGGGAAACACATAAGGATGTTTATAGTTGATTTAATTAATGCTAAACATACTTTATTGATACATTTCCTGTGAGAGTTTATGAAGTACTTTGACACAGTCTCAACTTTAGACCTCTTGAATATTCCCTATGCTGATAAATTTTCAGTGATGAAGTTATTTTTGTGTGGGAGAAATGACTGTGATTTCAGTGATTTGTCTTATGTGATACGAAAACAAACACCAATTTTTAGAACCCAAAGGGCAAACCTGAGCAACCAGACTTTGCTGCAAGTCTGTAGCATACTTTGCTGCAATGACAGATTGCCTCTCGATCTTTTCCAGTCAGATTTGTTTTAGTGAGGGAGTAGTAGATAGCTGAAAAGGAGGATGTGGTGGTACCTGAACTACTGAAAGTCTACTGAGTAGAGGTGGCAGGAATGCGGGAAGGTGGGAGTCGCAACCAGAAATAGAGATGAGGTAAGCAATTGAAGGTGTGGATGTCCCAGCCCCAGCCTCTTCTCTTGACACTACTGACCCATCCCCGTCACCTGCAGATATAACTGCAGCCATAAGTTTACCTCAATAGAGAAAAAGTATGGTGTCCTCTTCTCTGATGAGGAGGAAGTTTCTGACATCCGTGGGGACTAGCCCAGAAGCAGCTCCCCCTACTCACAAAGCCCCCTCAGTTGACAAGCTCCACTTATATTCACAGAGTTCCCACTCAACCAGCCCAATCCCCAGCCTCAAATATGAACAGATAACAACAGATTACACATATCTGAGAAAAATATGTAGCATCAAAGAGAAAAACCAAGATACACAAATACAAGAAATTTAAAACATAAAACCCTAATTGGTACCCTAAGAATGATTTGAGACAATAATGGATGAAAATATTTTTATTCAATAATGAACAAAAGTAATGCTCCAAAAGGTTATGCAAAAAAAATAATCAGAACAAAAAAAGAGCTCTTAGAAAGTAAAAATGTGAGGAGTGGGGGCATGGCTCACATCATACAGAGCTTGCCTAGCAAGTATGGAACCCTGATTTCAAACCCCAGTACCTCAAAAACAACAAACCAAACAAACAAACAAATCTTTCTCTTCTTCCTTTCAACTTTAACATGTTGACTTAGGTATGGATTTAAGATTTAAAAAAAAAAAAAAAGCTACTGGATGTTTTCAATGTCCCCGGGACAGTGATTTCAAAAGAAAAAAAGACATAAAAAGTAAAATTAAAATTATTCAGCAGAAAGGGTGAACAATAAAGTGAGGAAAATCTGCAAAGTAGAGAGAAACACAGAAATAAAAATATGGGCAAAAGAAAAGAAAGAAAAAAAAGATACAGGGGATCAATTCAAGAGGTCTACCATCCAACTAACAATTCTAGAAAGGCAATAGGGGCAAAAAAGGGACAAAAATAACAAAGGGAGAATAGAAGAAATTTTTCCTGAGTTAAAGAAAAACATAATAGGAGAGTGGAACAGGGCCTGCCTAAGGAGGAGGGTTGGTTCCAGTGGGAGGGGGGAGGTGGTGGGGAAAGTGGGTAGGAGGGTGAAAACAGTGCAAAAAAATTGTACACATGCATGTAAATGCAATAATGATACTTGTTGTAACTATTCCATGAATGGGGATGGGGGGAGGAGAGAAGCAGTGGAGGGGGTAAATTAATGCCAAATGTACCCCCACCCAGCATAACAATAAAGGAAAAAAAAAGAAAGACATATTTTTAGACTAAAAAGAAAGACATAGTTTTAGACTAAAAGGACCAATGGAAAAATGTCATAATGAAGCCCATTATTTTGTACAATTAATATACACTAATAAAAAATAAATGAGGAGCTGGGAGTGGTAGCACACACTGCAATACCAGCACTCAGGAGGCTGAGGCAGGAGGATTTGCTATATAGCCTGGGCTATATAGTAAAACCTTGTCTCAAAAGTAAATAAGTAAGTAAGCAAAAATAAATAAATGGTCAACTGGTTGAATAAAATCAGCACATCTAAAAATATGCTTGTGCTGTTACTCCAGAGGCACCTGCACATCCATGTTTATTGCAGCACTATTCACAATAGCCAAGTTATGGAAACAGCCAAGATGCCCCAGCACAGACGAATGGATTAAGAAAATGTGGTATCTATACACAATGGAATTTTATGCAGCCATGAAGAAGAACGAAATGTTATCATTCGCTGGTAAATGGATGGAATTGGAGAACATCATTCTGAGTGAGGTTAGCCAGGCCCAAAAGACCAAAAATCGTATGTTCTCCCTCATATGTGGACATTAGATCAAGGGCAAACACAACAAGGGGATTGGACAATGAGCACATGATAAAAGCGAGAGCACACAAGGGAGGGTGAGGATAGGTAAGACACCTAAAAAACTAGCTAGCATTTGTTGCCCTTAATGCAGAGAAACTAAAGCAGATACCTTAAAGCAACTGAGGCCAATAGGAAAAGGGGACCAGGAACTAGAGAAAAGGTTAGATTAAAAAGAATTAACCTAGAAGGTAACACCCACGCACAGGAAATCAATGTGAGTCAATGCCCTGTATAGCTATCCTTACCTCAACCAGCAAAACCCCTTGTTCCTTCCTATTATTGCTTATACTCTCTCTACAACAAAATTAGAGATAAGGGCAAAATAGTTTCTGCTGGGTATTGAGCGGGGGAGCGGGAGGGGGTGGAGTGGGTGGTAAGGGAGGGGGTGGGGGCAGGGGGGAGAAATAAACCAAGCCTTGTATGCACATATGAATAATAAAAGAAAAATGAAAAAAAATAAAAATACGCTTGTGAAATTTCAGAACATCAAAGATAAATGCTTCCAAAGAACAAGGTCACAAGGGAACACAAATTTGTTACCAGTTTTTTCATGGGCTATCCTGGATGCTAGAAATCAACACAAGGCTTTCCAAGAATTGGGAAATACTTATTTTGAACACAGAAGATATATTATACCAATCAAAGTGAAGGTAAAGGCTGGGAGTGTAGCTCATGGAAGAGTGCTTGCCTGTCATTCACAAAGACCTAGGTTTGATAATTCCCAGCACCCGCAAAAACAAAACAACAACAAAAAACACCTCAGAAAAATTTCTACACACTTTCTTTCTTTCTTCATTTTTTGGTGGTACTGGGGTTCCATTAGCCCAAATTAGTTTTTTCCCCCCTGTGGACTTTTTTTTTTCTGGTGGGACTGGGGTTTGAACTCAGGACTCCAAGCTTGCAAAGCAGACACTCTACTGTTTAAGCCATACCTCCAGTTCATTTTGTATAGTTATTTTGGAGATGGAGTCTCATAAACTACCTTAAACCATGATCATCCCCATTTCAGCATCCAACATAGCCTCCCAGGGCATCTGGCTCCCCTTTCAGTTTTTGTATTTATTTATTTATGGCAGTACTGGGATTTGAACTCAGAGCCTCATGATTGCTAGGCAGGTGCTGTACCTCTTCAGCCACCCTGCCAGCTCTACACACTTTCTTTTCTTTTTCTTTTTGTTTCTTTCCCTTTTTCTTTTTTAAAATTTTGAGTATCAAACTCAAGGCTTCATGCATGCCAGGCAAGTGCCACCTCCCCATCCATACACACCCTCAATAGCCAAAGCAATCCTGACCACAGACAGCAACAGTCACTTCAGACTGTACTTTTGGCTGACAATGGTCAAAACCAAGAAAGAAGTCGATTCCAGTTAAAAAACCCTATGATAATCACTACGCAGCAGGCATGGAAACCTGTCAGGTCAGATCTGTGTAGGATGTACTCCAAGGAGAATGCTTCTAAAAAAGAATGGCATTGAAAAACTTAGCAACCAGATGGGATTATGGATGTGTTGAAGGCATGATCTTTTTCAAACAAGGGTACAATCAGGAATCCCAGTAAAATTATATATAGTTTTCATGGTTTAAGAAAGAAAATTAAATGTGTCAAAAAAAGTTATAGGTCAAAATCCCTGATAAACATAGATGCAAAAGTCCTTGCTAACCAAATCTAGCAACACATAAAAAATCATACACCATGATCAAGTTTCATTCCAGGTATGTAAAGATGGTACAGCACAGCAAATCAAAAAGCATGATACAACACATAAAGAGAATCAGGAACAAAAACACATTATCATCCTGATAGATTCGGAAAAAGACTGTGACAATATTCAACATCCCTTCCAGCTAAAAGTCCTAAAGAAAGTAGGAATACAAGAAACGCACCTCAACATAATAAAGGCTATGTATAATAAACCTATAGCCAACATCATATTAATTGAAGAAAAACTGAACTATTTCCTCTACAGTCAGGAATAAGACAAGGGTATCTACTCTCTCCACACTTATTCAATATAGTGAATTCTCAGCCACAGCAATAAAGCAAGAGAAATAAAAATAAAAGGGATACAAATAGGACAGGAAGAAGTCAAATCTTCCCTATTTGCAATGACATGATCTTAAAGGACACTAAAAACTCCACCAAAATACTCTTAGATCTCATAAACACTATCAGCAAAGTAGCAGTATACAAAATCAACATACAAAAATTATTAGCTTTTCAATACACCAACAACAAACAGTCTGATAAAGAAATCAGGAAAAAAAATCTCATTCATGATAGTCTTAAAAATACCCAGGAATAAATTTAACTAAGGAGGTAAAAGACCGCTACATTGAAAACTATAAAACACTTAAGAAATCAAAGAAGACACTAGAAGATGGGAAGTCCTCTCATATTCATGCATCTACAGAATAAACATTGTGAAAATGACTATATTACTAAAAACAATCTAAAGATTTAATGCAATCTCCATAAAAATTCCAATGACATTCCTCACAGAAATAGAGAAAACAATCCTAAAATTCATATGGAAGCACAACAGACCCCCAATAGCCAAAGCAATCCTGAGCACAGGCAGCATTGCTGGTTTCTGTATTACAGAGCTGTAGCAATGAAAATAGCACTGTCCTGTCACAAGAACAAACATGTAGCCCAATGGAATTGAATACAAGACCCAGAAATAAAACCACCCAGCTACAGCTATCTAATTTTTGACAAAGGTGCCAAAAGCATACATTGAAGAAAAAACAGTCTCTTCAACAAATAGTGCTGGAGAAACTGGGCATCCACATGTGGAAGACTGAAATCATATCCCTGTATCGTGCCCTGTACCAACATCAGTTCAAAATGGATCAAATACCTTAATGTAGGGCCTGAACCTTTGAAACTACTAGTTTTCTATGTTTTCACATAGGGGAAACACTGGAAGATACAGGCAACAACTTTCTGAATAGGACTCCAATAGCTTGGGAAATGAAAGCAAGGATTGACAAATGGGACTGCATCAAACTAAAGCTACTGTTCAGCAAAGGAAACAGTCACTAGATTGAAGAAAATGGGAGAAATCTTTGCTTGCTATTCATCTGACATGGGATTAATAACCAGAATATATAAAGAGTTCAAAAAAAGTTCAAATGAACCAATAATCCAATTAATAAATGGGCAAATGAATTGAATAAACAACTCTCAAAAGAAGAAATACAAATGGTCAACAGACACATGAAGAATGTTTAGCATCCTTAGCCATAAAGAAAATCCAAAAATCAAAATGACACTGAGATTTCACCCCACAACAGTCAGATGGCTATCATCAAGAAAACAAACAGCAGAGGCTGGCGAGAATGCAGGGGAAAAGGAACCCTTGTACACTGTTGGTAAGAATGTAAATTATCACAGTGACTATGAAAATCAGTATGGAGGTTCCCCCAAAAACTAAAAATAGAACTACTACATGATCTGGTGATACCTCTCTTGGGCATATATCCAAAGTAATTAAAGTCAAGATATAATAGAGATACCTGTACACTAGCAACACTATTCACAATAGCCCAACTATGGAATCAGCCTAGTTGCCTACTAACAGATAAGTGGATAAAAGAAATGTGGTATATATAATAATGGAGTATTATTCAGCCATAAAGAAGGATGAAATTGCCGAGCTCCGGTGGCTCACACCTGTAATCCTAGCTTCTTGGGAGGCAGAGATAAGGAAGATTGCAGTTTAAATCCAGCACAGGCAAATAGTTCATGAGACCCTATATATTGAAAAAACCCAACACAAAAAAGAGCTGGATGATTGGCTCAAGTGGTAGAGTAACTGCCTAGCAAGTGTGAGGCCCTGAGTTCAAATTCCATTACCACCACCACCAAAAAAAAGAAAAAAAAACCCAGCAGAATGAAATTATGTCCGTTGTTTGCAGGAAAATGGATGGAACTAGAGATCATCATATTAAGTGAAATAAGCCAGACTAAGAAAGCCAAATAGTGCTTTTCTCTCATGTGTGGAATCCAGACCTAATGTGTGTATGTGTGTGTAACATGAATGTAAGTATATATATAAATTACATAAAAATGTGTATATATATGTGTGTGTATATATTTTATATATGTATAGAGAGAGAGAGGGAGGAAGGGATAGAGAGAGGGAAAGAGAAAACATGGATGTAAATGTGGAATTCCTGGGGAGGAACGAGTTGGGGTTGGCAATACTGAGGTACACTATGTCTATGTATGAAGATGGTATAATGAGACCCACTAAAAACTTAAAATTAGAGAAAGGCAGAACAGGGTAAAGAATGAGCAACAGAGGGGGTTAATCTGATCAAAGTACAACATATGCATATATGAAACACCAAGGTGAAACCCCTTTGTACAATTAATATACACTAATAAAAAGGAACATTCTCTATAACCTTGCCACACAAACTGTGGTACCTGAACTAGCAACACTTGTACTCTCTGACAGCTTTGAAAAATGCAGAATCTAGGGCTAGGCATAATGGTGCATCCACGTAAGCTCAGCTACTCAGAAGACAGAGATGGGGTAGATATGATTTGAGACCAGTCTGGGCAAAGTCAGTAAGACCCCATCTCAACAAATAAGCTGGGTATAGTATGGTGGTTCATCCCTGTAATCCCAGGTATGTGAAAAGATCATGGTCTGTGACCAAAAACACAGACCCTATCTGAAAAAGAAAATAAATCAAGAAGGGCAGATGGTATGGTTCAAGTGATATGAGTAGTTGCCTAGCAAGCAGAAGGCCATGAGTTCAAATTCCAGTACTGCCAAAAAGAAAAAGATAAAAGAAATGCAGAATCTCAGCAACCACCCTCTGCCTCATCTATATTATAAAAAGGTCCTTGAGTGACTCATAGACACATTAGAGTATCCAAAGCAGTAATCTAGCTCATCTTAAGAGTCAGGAGCACTAAAACATACTCGTCTTAGTGAGAATCCAGGAGGCAGTAGGCTCCCTAGAAGGCTTCTACTTGGACATCTTGGCCAGAAGGAGATGAAGCTGTTGTCATGAAGGACCCAAGCTCCAGGGACTTCCCACCCCAAGTACCAAAGTAATTTGCAAGGAAACAATAGGATCATAAGGCTGGCAGAGAAGGTCATGAGGCAGGACTGCACCAAGACTGGGCAGCAGGTAACATGACTGGACTCTCCATCCTCTTTCACAGGTGGGAAACCAAGGTACCAGATCACGTGGTGAACTCAGACAGGCCAACCCCTCCACATAGTGTCAGCATCCAGAGACAGCTGTGTGACATTTTCCTTCTGCATTAACTTCAGGGGTGTGTTTCCATGGGAATACGTAGGGCCTCTCTTTCCTTATGTTCATCTTAAGAGTTCAGATCATGATGAGAACACTGATCAACACTCAGGAGCTAAGGATCTGATGGTCCCACAAAAAGTACAAATTCATGGGTTAACAAAATAACCATTTATAAAAGTGACTAAGTTGAGCAACCCACTGGGCGATTTAAAAAATTTTGTTTTACCCAGTTTTGGAGAACAAAAGCTGTTAAGCCTCTTATTAAGACTGAAATAGATTAAAATGGCTCTATGTTGTCCCAGCTAGCAGGGCACACGTGTAGACTAATTCTGCTGAAGCAGAGAACCCCAAGAGCCGTAAATGGCTGTAACAGTTACGTTTCACTTACGGTCCCCACTGCTGGTCAATGTCTGCTCCTCTCTGAGCGAGAACTGGAATGGCTTCATGGTGATTATTCACAACAGCCATCGTAATAGCAGGTCGACCTTCATTATCACTGCAGTTGGGGTCTGCTCCCTGCAGGACATGGAAAATGAGAAAGTCACCACCAAACCCCAAATTCAACATTGTCCAGTCACCATCCTATTAGGCACAACAAATTTCCTGTTAAAAAATGATGGAACTAAGTTGATTTTAGATCAAAGGAAAGGAGAATTGGAAACCTCAAGACCCAGCCTATAATGGTCACCTGCCAAGCCCCCAGGTGGGAAGACTTCCATTCCCCAAGTGAGGAGGGGCAGGCACGCTGACATTTGACTTGTTTAGGAAAGCAGGCTGAAGGTCTAATGGGGCCACAGACCAGGGGTTCTGTCCTCCATACTACTCGGGCTCATGTTACTTGGGCTCATGTGTACATTTTCTATTTTATTTGCTTTATAGCAACAGTAACAGTGAATGGAAAGGTTTTGACTAGCCATTTACTCCATTCTCAAACAGGTTTTAATTTGTGGGCAGCAGGTGGAGAGCCAGGCTGACCTCCGCAGAGACACAGGTCACACTCACTTCATCCAGCAGCTGTTCAAGCACAGAGACTCTTCCTTCCCCTGTTGGGCCAACTTCTTCCAACAGGCGTCTGTTTTCGGGCTGCAGGATTGCAGAATATGGTCATTTCCACGCCCTCACAGTATTTGTACTATTCAGTCCCAGGTCCAACACTCAAGGCAAATGTTCCCTCTTCAAGCTTAGCAGCCACACTCCCAGTTAAGTTCTGAGCCACATAGACAGGTGAGTGTGTGAGTGCACATGGTCTTCAACAGCCAGCAGCATAAACCCCCACATTTAATATCCAGCTTATTGTGACTAGGTAGCCAAGTGGTTAAGGTGATAGACTGCTGATATCCATCTTGCTCTTCTCCAAAACCTTCACTTGGGGAAGAACACCACATGACATTGTTTCATATTATTAAAAGCAATGAGACACCTCATTAGTTCATTATGAACAGGAAAAGCAGCCAGGTGAACTTCCTTGCATGTTTCTGTGGTACTGATGATTGAACCCAGTGCTTAATGTGTGCCAAGCAAGCAATTTACCACTGAACTACACCTCCAGTCCTTTACAATTTTTTTTTTTTAATTTTGAGACAGAGTTTTGCTAAGTCGTCTAGGCTGGCCTTGAGTTCTCTATGTGCCCAAATCTGGCCTCAAATTTGTGGTCCTCATGCCTCGGCCTCCTGAGTAGCTGGGATTATAGGAATGCTGTACCCAGCGACTGTTCAAGACCAACCTGCCTGTAACAGTTCATAAAAATGTACTCACCTAAGAAATAAATGAATCAATAAAGTCACCCTCTTGTTTAGAAAAAACAGCTCTCATTTATCAGAAATCTAAAAACTTTATCTTTTATATTTTCAAAATTCATCTTTATATAAAATTTTTTTGGTTGTGCTGGGGCTTGAACTTAGGTCCTCATGTTTGCTAGGTAGGTGCTTTATCTCTTCAGCCACACCTCTAGCACTTTTTGCTTTGGTCATTTTTTTATAAGATCTCGCTTTTTTTTTTATTCTTTAACTTTTTTTGGTGATATGGGGTTTGAACTCAGGGCCTTGCACTTGCTAGGCAGGTGCTCTACCACTTGAGCCATGCCCCCAGCCCTTTTTTGCTTTAATTTTTCAGATATGGTCTCGTGTTTCTTCCCAGGGCTGACCTTGGACCTTGATTTTCCTACCTATGTCTCCCTCTAGCTGGGATTACAGACATGTACCACCATGTCCATCTTAGTTTGCTGAGATGGGGATCTTTCTAACTTTTTGCCCGGGGTGTTCTCTAATCTCACAGGGACTTTAGACCCACACACCCACGCTGGGCACCTATACCATGCACTGGTGCTATTCCAACTAGCCATTTATTTGTCAAATGGCCAGACAATCTCCACATATTTGAATCAAATCAAATACAAGATAAAAATACAGCAGGCAGAACTGATGCTAAAGGAAACAGAGATGATTCAGGAAGTTAAACTTTAAAATAAGTCTAGCTTTCTATCTTGAGATATTTTAAAGGACTCTACCACCATAAAATAAAAATATGCTGCTCACTAGGTGCCAGTGGCTCATGTCTGTAATCACAGCTATTTGGAAGACAGAGATTAGGAAGATGGCAGTTCTAAGCCAGCCAGGCAAATAGTTCACAAGACCCTATCTTGGAGGTTAGATCAAAAAGAATTAACCTAGAAGGTAATACACACGCACAGGAAATTAATGTGAGTCAACTCCCTGTATAGCTATCCTTATCTCAACCAGCAAAAACTCTTGGTCCTTCCTATTATTGCTTATACTCTCTCTTCAACAAAATTAGAGATAAGGGCAAAATAGTTTCTGCCGGGTATCGAGGGGGTGGGGGAGAGAGGGAGGGGGTGGAGTGTGTGGTAAGGGAGGGGGTGGGGGCAGGGGGGAGAAATGACCCAAGCCTTGTATGCACATATGAATAATAAAACAATAAAAAAAAAGAAAAGAAAATACCTAACACAATGGCGAGGATGTGGGGGAAAAGGAACCCTGGTACACTGCTGGTGGGAATGCAAGCTGGTGCAACCACTCTGAAAAAAAATTTGGAGGCTTCTTAAAAATCTAAACATAGACCTGCCATGTGATCCAGCAATCCCACTCCTGGGGATATACCCAAAGGAATAGCACAGGTTACTCCAGAGGCACCTGCACACCCATGTTTATTACAGCACTATTCACAATAGCCAAGTTATGGAAACAGCCAAGAGGCCCCACTACTGATGAATGTATCAAAAAAATGTGGTACTTATACACAATGGAATTTTACTCAGGCATGAAGAAGAATGAAATCTTATCATTTGCAGATAAATGGATGGAACTGGAGAACATCATTCTGAGCAAGGTTAGCCAGGCTCAGAAGACCAAAAATTGTATGTTCTCTCTCATATGCAGACTTTAGATCTAGGGCAAATATAGCAATGTAATTGGACTTGGATCACATGACAAGGAGAGAGCATGTACGGGAGATATAGGAATAGGTAGAAAACCCAAAATATGAAAAAGTTTGATGTCCCCACTCCAGAGGAACTAATACAGAAACCTTAAAGCGACAGAGGTTAACATGAGAAGGGGATCAGTAACCAGTGTAAAGATCAGTTAGAGATGAATCTATTTCTGAATAGCTATCCTTAATTCAACTAGCAAAAATGCTCTGTCTTCCTTATTATGCTTATGTCTTTTCTTCAACAAAATTAGAGATAAGAGCAGAACAGGTTCTGCCTGGAAGGGCGGGGGGGGGGAGAAATGACTCAAACAATGTATGCACATGTGAATAAGTGAATAATTAAAAAATAAATAAATAGTATAAAATAAAATAAGAAAAAGAAAATACCCAACACAAAAAAGGACTGGAGGAGTGGCTCAAGTGGTAGAGTGCCTGCCTAGCAAGCATGAAGCCCTGAGATCAAACACCAGTACTATAAAAAAAAAATGCTATTGTAAAAAAGAAGCAAATGAATAAGAAAGCACTCTATTTTTAAAATGTCAAAATAAATATTAAAATGACAGGCTGAAGAAGATGGCTACAAAACCAAGGAGTTCACATACTGTAAGCTGCTCTTTCCTTTTGTGGGATGTCTTGGTCTTGAGGCTCCATGTCCTCTTCATTCTTTCAGGGGTATCTGAGGTACTCTGGCTATAGTCACTCACTGAAATGACAAAGAATTGTAGACCAAAATGACCTCTCTCCCACTCCTTGAATACAAACAGCCACTTCTACTTCCATGCCCATCAAAGGTTGGAAGGATAAAATAGCTATTATAGAAATCTTCCACTTGATTAAAACTGGCAGGAAGGACCTACGGAGCCACTCCCTGTCCAGGAGCCAGATGATGACTGACAAGAAGGGGAAGGAATGGACTTCAGTTTTTAGGTTGAAAAAAGCACACCTTCACCTAACCCCCTGGAAATATTGTTTCCTGAAGGCCTGTGAAGGACTTCAGAAGTCTCACTTCAGCTTCAGAAAGACTAGATTCATGATTAGAATGGTAAATTTTATGCAAGACCCTGCCATTCTTTTCAAGTCAGGATGTTCTTGGTTAACTATCATAAAGTCACCAGAAGAGTACAACTTACCCAAGCTGGATCTGCTGTCACACAGCCCATTACCACCCTCGGTAACGCTGCTCAGAAAGTGGTCATTGAGATTCACTGCTTTGTTGAGATACAGATTCTAGCCAATGAAAAAATTCACGTATCACAAATGATGAGGCTGCTATGTCTCAATAGAAAGGATCATCTCCCTGCTAAACTGCTCCTTCTTGTTAGTGACAGCTCCCTTTACCAGACATTTGAGCCTGAGGCCAGGACATCCTTCTGGACCCCTCCTTCACCACCCCAGGATGCATCATGCATTTTTCCTCTTCATCAACTCCCTCAGTGGGCCCCTTCTCCTCTCCATCACTACAGCCATGGCCCCATCTTCTCACACAGGGACTGATACAATAGCCTCCCAACAGACTTCTGCTAGTCATCGTTATGCCATTTATAAGTAATTGTGTCCTTTCCCTGCTAAAATCCCTTCAGTGTTGTGGCATTAGGGAGGCATGCTGGAAACACTTAAGGTTGCAGTTTGATTCCTCATTCTATCACTTTCTAGCTTAGTAACCTTGGAAGAAGCAAGTTACTTAATTTCTCTGGCATTGTTTCCTCACCTACACAGTGGAAAAATTATGATGTGCTTCAAAGGGATGTCGTGAAAGTAAAATGAGGTCAAATGAATGTCTACAAAATTCTTTTGCCTATTCTGACATGCCCAATGAAGCTACAGCTACTAATATTAACCAACTAATGTTTGTCACATACTTATATAAAAGGAGACACGACTATTAAGCTTGGTTTATTTTATCTAAAGTAAATGGGTCAAAGTGTATATCATAATTTTTGTCATTCTTTCCCCGTGTCAATTGCATCATGGACATGTCATCACACTTCAATGAGCACGAACAAGCCAGACAACTATAGAACCATCGGTGGATGATAATTCCTGCTCTTATCGTATTCTTATGCACCTGAAAGCTGATTTCTCTGAGGTTTAGTTCAACTATTTATCTAATTCTATGAAACTGCCTACAGTCAATTCATACTTAAAATTGTTCCTTTTTTTAAAAGTCATCTAACTGGGATGGGTCTTTTGAGACAAACCCATTATTATTAAGGGTTTATGATTGATTCTCTCTCAATCAGCTTTATTTCTAAACAGAAATTCCTGTATGTACAGAGCCAGTCTATATTAAATATGTGATGCTGTTAGTTTTTAAATGTCTTTAGCAAATAAAAAGATGTAAAGCATTGCAGTTTGCTTAACATCATAATTGTGAAATTTCTTCTTCTTTTGGAACCTGTTCTCTACTGTGGAAAACTTTTCCTTTGCATGGATTTCACAGAAGCATTTCTGCAAATTATATGCAGTAATGTACTAGTTTAGTCAATTCTCTAGTGAACAACTTCTAAAGATTTACTTACCTTGCTTGAGACTTGAATATAATTCAGCCTGATGCTAACTTCACAGCCATCTTCATGAACAGTAGCAGAGATAAGCTTTTAAAGGAATTTTAAAGAGAATTCTTAACTGTGCGTGTGGGATTCAAGACTCACTGTCTTGAGAATAGTCTAGAAATTCTGAGATGTTTAAGTTTACTCAACTATTCTTAGTACAAAAAAAGGTAACAAAAGAGAAACAGGAACAAAAACTAGATGAGATAAATAGAAAACAGAGCAAAATAGCAGACTCAAATACCTATAACTCCACTAATTACAAATGAACTACATACTTCAAAGGATAGAGACTTTCAGATTAGATAAGAAGACAAGATTCAAATTTATACTTTCTTCAACAGACATACTGAAGGTCATCACCTTGGAAAAGGTATCCTGATGGTTGGGAGTAGGGAAAACTGGCCCTGGAGATTAAAGGACAAGTATCACAGTTGAGGAGCTTTTACTATAAGTAGTGGAACAAATTTAGATTCAAACAGTAGGTAGCAAATGTTTTTTGAAAAGGTTAGATAGTAAATATTTTAGGTCTTAAGGGCCATAAATTTTGTATCATGAATACTTAACATTGCTAATGTAGCACAAAGTAGCCACAGATAACTTGTAAATAAATGGATGCAGCTCAGATGCAATAAAACATCATTTATAAAATTGGGCAACAGGTCAGATTTGTCGTTCATGCAGACCTCTGATTGGACCAAAGAGTTTAGAAACTACCAATATGGTTTATCAAAGGAATTAAACAGTGGTTAAAAATAAGATTGTGAGACAGTTTCAATGTTGGCCTATTTGATGGCAAAGGATAAATGTGATTTGATAATGTTCCTTCTAGACTGTGACAAACAAGAGGAAAGGTACCCTCACTGAGTTGTGCCTTTATAAAGGAAATGCAGTGCCAAAGAAAAGGTATGGAGCTTAGGATCTGACAAACTTATTTCAAATCTGAATCCCTCTCAACCTAGTAGGGCAGCCTTGTTCAGGGAAGCCCCTATGAGCCTCAGTTATCCTGGGTGTCAAATAAGGCTTGTTCTAAATACCTACTGCAGTGTATCTCCACTGTGCCCTATCTGAATCCATGAACACAATCAAGTGATGTTGTTTAATGGCAATACATTTGGCATCTAAGCATGAGATGTTCAAAATCTTTCTATGTCAGATGCCCAAGAAACAGACCTTGAGATAATCCTTATGTGCAAGTGATTTACTAAGGCAGTGCTCACAGGTTGAGAATAGTAAGAAAATGTGGGAGAGGAAAGGAGCTAAGTAAGGAACAATTTCAGGCAACGTCCTGAAGGAAGCCTGAGACCGAGGACACCCTGGAAGGTCAGTTTCACCTCACTCACCTTTCCCATCCGGGGTTCGGCAATCAAGGCCCGGAATTCAGGGTTGTTCTGAGCATAAGATCTGAGGTGAGCAGAGATATGATCCAATTGTTTTCTCCAGTATCCTTAAAAAGAAGAGAAACAAAGCCATATGAATACTTCTTCTAAGAAAGAAATATGTGTAAGATGTACATTCTCAGAGGCTATTTTTCTTTGCCAAACTTTATAATAGTTTTTCCTTACTGAACCTCAATAATACACGGCAATAAATTTTATCCCCCTGCCATTGATTTCATTTTTTTTTTCATTCTGGGGTTTGAACTCAGGGCATTCACCTTGAGCCATTCCACCAGAACTTTTTTGTGAAGGGTTTTCTTTGAGATAGGATCTCATGAACTATTTGCCTGGGGTTGGGTTCAAACCTAATCTCTGCCTTCTGAGTAGTTAGGATTACAGGTAAGAGTCACTGGCACCTGGCTCCCACTGACTTCTTATGACACATGATCACAGAATCTCAAAAGACCATACTTTGATTGTCATATATGAAATCTTTTAGTTTTCTATTATTCTTTCCCACAAATAAGTTTTATATAAAATTTTAAACATGAAGTTAGGGTTTGGCATCCAAATCAACATACAGAACATTTCCATTATTCCAGAAAGTTTCCTGTGTCCTTCCCTACTTTGCATAGGGTTTTAAACACATTTGAATTAATTGCCACTACTTAAAACATAAGAGATTTCACATGAATCTGGATGTCTGGTTTCTTGTGTGTGGGCAAACCATGCTGTTATGAGGGGAGCAAATGTGAGGTGGGGAAAATAGCAGAAAAACAGCAGAAGTGGCTCTGGGAATAAATGGCAAAAATGAACCTGGGAATGTAAAGGGGACAGATGGCAAAAGTAACTTAGTCTTGGATAAAAGAGATAGGAATGCATCCTTAAAAAAAAGCATTTAGGGAGATATGAGGAGCAGGCTTCTTACCCACATAATAAAATACAGCGGTCTCTCTCCTAGATAAAGGGAGACAGAGAAGCATCTTTAAAGACAAATATCTAAAGAGATGAAAAACAGACCCCTCAAGGAAAGTAACACAGCAAACTTTCCCAAGATAGCACAAGGGGGTTATAAATATAAATGGTGGGTCTCACCAAGGTAACAAACGGTAGTCATAAAATGTATATGACAGTCCTCAAGGACAGGATGGACTAACAAGACCTTCCTGGAATGTCCAGTCTGATAAGATGGGATGGGAAGGGATAGCCAGATGGTTGGGTTCAGCAAGAAGTTAATTAGACATCCAATTACAGGTGTAATTTCAAAGTAGAGTAGTGTGTGCCTAAGTCAGGCAGAGCCCTATATTAGCCCCTAGACTTCAGCCTTTCTTTGGCTTAGCTCTTTCACTAAGTCCCACATGACAGGGTGCACTATCCTTTTAATATACTTTGTGCTTGCTTTAACTCTTAACTCCTGGTCCGATGCCTTCAATCATTGACTACGCTAAGACACAAACTCAGGAACAACAATCCAGTAGCACAGTGGCCTACTGCCTGGGACAAAGAGCAGCTGATTGGGATGAGACCTTGGCCAAGACAGCATGAACTGCTAGGGGATGGCTGAGGTGGCAGGGCCTTTCTCTCATCTCAAGGTTGCTGAGTCTTTGAGCTGACTGTTGGCTGGGGTGCCCCTTGTTCTCCTCTTTGAGACTTCTCTCATTAAGTAATCCATACTGAACTTTTTTTCTATAGTGTTGTCTTTATAGAAAGTAAGTGGAAGCCATCCATCTTATTAAGAAAGATGGCTATCTTTCTTAATAAGATGGTATCATGGTTCTCACGCTATGACCCTTATTAGTTCTGGCCTAAGCCCAGAACTGTCATGGGTCTCTTCTATTACTTCCTACTAGGCAAAGCAAGTCACAAAGCCTTCCTCTTAAGGACAGCAAGGATGTAAGGAATCTAGCCATCTCTGTAGACAATCCACCATAGAACAGATACTACTCCAAAGTCTGTGAGGGCTCGGTCAGACTGCAGGCTGAGTTCTGGTTCCAGAAGGGAAATTCAGAGAGCATGAAAAGAACTGGGAATGATCGATTTCTAGCATGACAGCCTGAAAAGTTTGGTGCTCCCATTCCCCAATTAAACTATTTTAAAAAGCCCAACGATTAACTATCTAAATTCTCTGGGAATATTTCTAAAGATGATAGATAGCAGTTAGACATAAGTGGTGACCACAAGAGGAAGAAAATCATTTGTAATTAAACTTCCCAAATCCACAGGTGACCGACCAGTCTCTGTTAAGATCAGAGTAGCCCATGATGCCAGAGGATATCACAGGATCCTTTGTAGTCAGCCACACTCCTAAAGTTTAATCCTTTCTTTACTCAAGAATAAACCACACTCTAAACATCAGTTAGGCCTAGGCTGGGAGTTTCACTCAGGTAATCTCTTTAATTTAACAAGACAAACACCCAGGCCCAGGAGCCCCTTGTACGGGCCAAATGGACCTGGGGCTGAGAATTTCTCAGTAAATATTCTAGCTCTAAATGCTGGTATCATGGTTCTCATGCTATGACCCAATTTCAGTCTATTGACAGTGTATTCCTTTCCTAATAAATTTTACCATCATTTTCACTATTTTTGCATCCCGCCTGAATTATTCTCTCGTTGGAAGCAAGAACTGAGGTATACCAAATGCTAAACTTTCCAGTATCAAAGACAAACAGCAAATGAAAAAACATTTAGTGAAGAAAATGTACTAAAACTCAGAACAGTGAGTTGGTGGTGTGAATGATGGAAACTCCACTCTAGGTAGGTACAGTCATCTAGACTCCCTCCCCTCTCAGCTCCCAGTTGCAGCTACAGTATCTTTCCAGGAGGGAGATGATTTTGTATTTCTCATCCTGCCCCAACTGCCTGTTGACAGTCTAAGTTCTGAGGAAGTGTAGTTAAGAGATGGGGGCTCCCAGTAACTCCTCATAGGATGGAGGGGCTGTACCTTGAGTCCATGGCACTGAAAATACTTGGATTCAGATTACCTATTTCTGACTTGTTCATTATAGATCTCATTTTGGGAGAGATCAATCTAGAAGACCAGAGGCTACAGCTCTACTCCCCATGCTGAGTGCCTAGTCCCTAACACAAAGATATCACTCTGAGAGAGAAACACAATTGTCCCTACCTCTAATCTAGTGCATTGGCTCAGAAAAAACATAAAACAAAGAGTATGGAATGTCATCCCAAAGGAACTCAAAGGAACCCAAAGGAACTGATTTCATTTGCCAACAGAGTGTGGGAAATTTCAAGCCTAATGCTGGTCTCAAAACAAAGAAGGGATGGTAGAAAGCAATTACAAGAAGACTGGTAGATTCACTAAGAGATATTGAATAGGAAATTGCCTCAAAGCAGATTATGAAATTATTAGTTAAGCCATAAAATGAATCCAGGGCCAAGATAAAAGGCCCCATGCCGAGATAACTGTCTTCTTCTGCAGAAGACAAATGAAAGGCGAAGACATGGACAGCTATATATCCCCTGCTGCCCATGTCTCCCTCTTTCTTTGTCTCCCTCTGTAAGTAGACCTTCTGAAACAGGTCCCCCTACTGCTCCTACCTAAACAACCCTAGGTCCCTAACCCCAGAGTGAGCCCACCTATTAGCAACCAGCACATTCCCTGTAACCTGATTCCCTTTAAGAATCCTGTGGTTTCACTGCTGGGGGCCCAGAATTTTGAGTACTAGCATAAAACGAAATAAAAATCCAAGTTCTTGCATCTTAACATCAGACCACAAAAACTAAGGTTGATACAGGAAAGAGTAGGAAAAACTCTGCAGTTAGTAGGTATAGGTAAGAACTTTCTCAATCAAACCCCAGCAGCACAGCAACTAAGAGATAGCATAGATAAATGGGACCTCATAAAACTAAAAAGCTTCTGTTCATCAAAAGAAATGGTCTCTAAACTGAAGAGAACACCCACAGAGTGGGAGAAAATATTTGCCAGCTACACATCAGACAAAGGACTGATAACCAGAATATATAGGGAACTTAAAAAACTAAATTCTCCCAAAACTAATGAACCAATAAAGAAATGGGCAAGTGAACTAAACAGAACTTTCTCAAAAGAAGAAATTCAAATGGCCAAAAAACACATGAAAAAATGCTCACCATCCCTAGCAATAAAGGAAATGCAAATTAAAACCACACTAAGATTCCACCTCACCCCTGTTAGAATAGCCATCATTAGCAACACCACCACCAAGAAGTGCTGGTGAGGATGCAGGGAAAAAGGAACCCTCTTACACTGTTGGTGGGAATGTAGACTAGTACAATCACTCTGGAAAAAAATTTGGAGGCTACTTAAAAAGCTAACCATTGATCTACCATTTGACCCAGCAATACCACTCTTGGGGATATACCCAAAAGACTGTGACACAGGTTACTCCAGAGGCACCTACACACCCATGTTTATTGCGGCACTATTCACAATAGCCAAGTTATGGAAACAGCCAACATGCCCCACTACTGACGAATGGATCAAGAAAATGTGGTACCTATACACAATGGAATTTTATGCAGCCATGAAGAAGAACGAAATGTTATCATTCGCTGGTAAATGGATGGAATTGGAGAACATCATTCTGAGTGAGGTTAGCCTGGCCCAAAAGACCAAAAATCGTATGTTCTCCCTCATATGTGGACATTAGATCAAGGGCAAACACAACAAGGGGATTGGACTTTGAGCACATGATAAAAGCGAGAGCACACAAGGGAGGGGTGAGGATAGGTAAGACACCTAAAAAATTAGCTAGCATTTGTTGCCCTTAACGCAGAGAAACTAAAGCAGATACCTTAAAGCAACTGAGGCCAATAGGAAAAGGGGACCAGGAACTAGAGAAAAGGTTAGATCAAAAAGAATTAACCTAGAAGGTAACACACATGCACAGGAAATTAATGTGAGTCAACTCCCTGTATAGCTATCCTTATCTCAACCAGCAAAAACCCTTGTTCCTTCCTATTATTGCTTATACTCTCTCTACAACAAAATTAGAGATAAGGGCAAAATAGTTTCTGCTGGGTATTGAGGGGGTGGTGGGGGAGAGGGAGGGGCAGAGTGGGTGGTAATGGG